GTGGGGCGCGGGTGGAGGGGGGGGGGGGCAGCCAGAAGCCCAGGATAGTGCAGGAGAATGAGGAGGGCTGAGGAGGAGGGCGGAGGAGGAGGAGGAGGAGGAGAATGAGGGGAATAATGATAATGGGGAGAGTGAGGATACTTGGCTCCAACAAAAGTTTCCCTGGAAACTCGCAAGAGGAATAATATGTATGTCAACCCGTCGGCAAGATGAAAAGTCGCGCGCGCGTGCTCAGCGTTCGCACGCACGCGATCCCAAGACGTCCCATGGCCACAACATGCTTCCAGGAATGCCTCAGGCCACGGACGATAACGTCCAGAGGACCCAGGATGATGCCACCCCAACGCGATCCCGCCATGGATTCTGGACCGTCTCAGGCCGACTTGCAGATGACGAAACACATGAGCAACGCGTGACGCCGAGATGGCCCGATGGCAACAATATGGATCCAAGCGCACCCAGGGTGGCCTCATAATGACCACAGATGGTTGCGTGATCCAAACATGACCGGGATATGATCTCAAGATGACCTCAATACGACCCCAACACGGCAATAATACTGCAACTTATGAGCCCCATCTTACTTCGAGCCGATCCCAGCATGGTGGGATCCGTGAACGGCCCGGAATTTTGGTCTACCCCATTTTTAATGGGTGGGATTTTGATCGTCCTGAACTAAACTTATCATATTAAAGCGGAATAAGCCAGGCGGGATCCCGCCCGGCCCACGGAGGAAGACAACATTGCTAGGCTTCTACGGGGGTAGAGGGTTCGGAAGGGGCGTCGTCTACTTCCGCTGACATTGGCAAGCCTTCCGGCGACCTTCCCCCGTCTTCCGCCTCGTTTTACTTCCGTCGACTTCCGCCGGCCAGCGTCGTGATGAAAATTCCAGGAACTTTCATTGGGCCGATGTAATGATGAGAATGAGGAGAATCGAGAAGACTGATGATGATGATGCTGCTGATGATGATGATGATGAAGAAGATGATGCTGATGATGCTGATGATGGTGATGATGATAATCATGATACTGATGCTGACGATGATGCTGCTGATGATGCTGATGGTGGTGGCGAGGACGATGGTGATGATCATGCTGATGGTGGCGGTGAGGATGCTGTTGCTGATGATGATATGATGATGCTGATAATGATGATGATGCTGCTGATGATGATGCTGCTGCTGCTGATGATGATGATGATGATGATGGTGCTGATGATGCTGATGATGGTTGTGCCGCTGCTGCTGTTGCTGATGATGATGGTGTTGATGCTGGCGATGATGAGGTGATGCTGATGAGGGTGATGATGATGATGATGCTGATAATGGCAATGATGATGATGATGATGATGATGCTGATGCTGATGATGATGACGATGATGACGATGATGATGGTGATGATGCTGATGCTGCTGCTGATGATGATGATGCTGATGCTGACACTGATGCTGATTGATGATGAGGAGGAGGATGAGGAGAAGGCGGGTGAGGAGCAGGAGGAGGAGTAGGAGGAGGAGAAGGAGGAAGAAGATGAGGAGGAGGAGGAGGGGGAGGGGAAGGGGTAAGGAGGAGGAGGAGGAAGAGGAGGAGGAGCAGGAGGAGGATGAGGAGGAAGACATGATGATGTTGATGACGATGATGCTGATGCTGATGATGCTGATGCTGTTGATGATGATGATGATGATGATGCTGATGATGATGATGATGATGATGATGATGATGAGGATGCTGATGCTGATGCTGCTGCTGATGATGATACTGATGCTGGTGCTGGTTCTGATGATGATGCTGACGATGATGATGCTCATGATTGCGATGTTGTTGATGCTGCTACTCATAATGATGATGCTGCTGATGATGATGCTGATGGCGATGCTGATGAGGGTAATGTTTGGTGGTGATGATGAACATCGATGATTCTGATGCTGATATGCTGCTGATGATGAGTGTAACGCTGCCGATTATGCTCAACATTATGATGCTGCTGCTGCTCATGATGCTGATGGTGGTGGTGGTGGTGATGATGATGCTGATGTCGATGATGGTGGTGATTATGAGGATGCCTATGATGATGCTGATGCTGCTGATGATGCTGATGCTGATGCTGATTGTGATGCTGACGACGACGATGATGAGGATGATGATGCTGATGTCGATGTTGCTGATGCTGATGATGGTGCTGCTGTTAATGACGTTGACGATGATGATGCTGATGATGGCGCTGTTGCTGATGATCATTATGATGATGATGAGGATGCTGCTGACTATGATGATGCTGATGATGATGATGCTGATGATGATGATGATGATGATGGTTCTGATGATGATGATGATGATGATGATGCTGACGATGATGATGCTGATGATGCTGATGATGTTGTTGATGCTGCTGCTGATAATGATGATGACGATGATTACGATGCTGCTGCTCATGATGATGATGATGATGATGATGATGATGATGATGATGATGATGATGATGATGATGATTATGATGCTGCTGCTGCTGCTGATGCTGATGATGATGATGATGATGAAGAGGAGGAGGAGGAGGAGGAGGAAGAGGAGGAGGAGGAAGAGGAGGAGGAGATGGACAAGGAAGGAACCATATCCGTCGTGTATACAGAGGTGGTGATTCTAGCCTCTGTAGAAGTTCGACGTATACTGCGAAGGAAGGACGTCGGAGGGATGATGATGATGATGATGATGATGATGATGATGATGATGATGATGATGATGATGATGATGATGATGATGATGATGATGATGATGATGATGATGATGATGATGATGATGATGATGATGATGATGATGATGATGATGATGATGATGATGATGATGATGATGATGATGATGATGATGAGCTGATGAGCTGATGAGGATGATGGGGAGGGGGACGAGGAGGAGGGAGGATAACTGGGAGGACACGCAGCAGTGCCGTTTTGGCTCCCAAGGCTGCGGCCGAGAAGTCTCTGCAGGCGTGATTCAGAACGGCTCCGCCTGCAGAGGCCAATATCTCGAGGCTTTGTGGACATCGTCCCGACGATGCTCGTGCTCCCAAGAGGTGGCGCCCCCGCCGAAGCCTCCGAGACACCGCCCTGATGATAGACGATAGCATATCGATGGGGCGGTTGCCCTCGTCGGGCTCCTCGACCGTCTCAGCGAACACCGTACGCAGAAGCTCAGGAACACGTCAGTATTTCAGGATAACTTTCCAGATGCCCCCAAGGGCCTCCAGGCACTCGCCACAAACTAACAGGACGTCCACTGGATGAACGTCATCACTGATTACCGAGAGTCGTCCGCGCTTAACTTCTTGCAGCGGTCGCGGATGGCAGCAGGCTCGAGCTTTCAATCAAGCATGCGCTGCGTGTCGCTGGGATGCAAAGAAGGCGATTCATTGCGAAGGCCTTACGGCCGGTGCCGCCGACCCTGAAGGGGGACGACGACGAAGACGACGACGACAACAACGGCGATGGCAGCGGCGGCGACGATTACGACGCTGACTTGGTCCAGAGTCCTCAGGGATGCTTCTCAGGGTCTCGTCGGAAGGCTCTCGGGGGCCACTGGAGAGGTTTTTTTGGGCCCCTTGGGAGCCTCTTGGTGGCCTCTCGGAAGCCTCTTGTGGGCCTCTTCGGGCTTCTGGGGACCTCCTGTGGGCATCTTCGGGCCCCTTGGGAACCTTTTGGACCTTCTAGGAGCCTCTCGGAACCGAGGGCTCGAAATGTCCGTTCGGAACCCCCGTCTGGGCGCCCTCTTGGAGCCGTCTTCGAGCCTCTTGGGCCATCTTGGAGGCCTTTCGGGCTGTCTTGGGATCTTCTTGTGCTTTTTGGGGGGGCTTTCTTGGAGTCCTCTTGCGCCGTCTTGTGGCGATCTTTGGGGCCTCTTAGGCCGTCTTGGAGCGGCGGGAAAAGGAAAAGGCGAGAACCCCCAAATCCTTCCAACGCCCAGGAACATCAATTAAGTGTGCCTCTTGGGGCCCTCTCGGGAGTGCTCTTGGAGGCTTCTTGGTGCGTATTGGAGGCCTCTTGGGCAGTCTGGAGGGCGTGGGAGCGTTTTGGATCGATCGTTTGGCGATTGGGTGCCCTCTTGGACCGTCTCGGGGGCCTCTTGGGGCACTCGTGGCCTGTAGGCCATCCCCTGGAATGGGCCCGCCTGGCTTCAACCAGATGCCTTCCCAATCATCCGTAAGGTCCGTCAAGACTTTTGGGGTCTTGGAGGGGCCTTGTGGGAGGTCAGGTAGGATTGGAATCAGCCTGTGGGGGCCTTGGTGTAGCGGTGACCTACACCCCTCCGTGTGCAACTGTGCCTGAGAGTGTGCGGGAGGGGGAGGGGGAGGAGGAGGAGGAGGAGGAGGAGGAGGAGGAGGAGGAAGAGGAGGAGGAGGAGGAGGCCTTGGGCAAGCTTCTTTCAAAATGCATCGGGTGTCATGCCTTAGCCAACGCGCCCCTTCGACATGGACATAGCGAAGCTCCGTAATCCAGGTGCGAGCCGTCGCCGGCCCTTCGCCACAGAACAACCCTTGAGCAGTCTGGATCTCGGGAAGTTTCTTGACGACCTTGGGCCCGTGGGCCCTGTCTCGATACTCGTCCCCAAACTCTTCATCCAAACAGGAAGCCACACACAGCTCCTCCTCGTGCGAGCCCAGGAACTGCGAGTAGAAGGACGGCAAGGGGGAGGGGCCCGAAGCAGCCTCGAGACGCGCCGCCAGGGCGCCCCACTCAACCGGTCGCCCAGGAGGTCCACACGCAACTTCAGAACGACACTGAGAAGTCTTTTCGGATTCACAAATGCGGTAATTCTGGGAGCTCAATCTTGTGTCTGAATGCCCACTGCACAGCCCAATGCGGCTTCAGGGTCGAGACGTTGCTGCGGCGAATCGCCTTTCCCGAGCTCGCGAGGCTAGGCGAGACCAGGATGAAATCTTTGTTTCTCTACATCTTTCCGCAGTGGCAGTTAGGGATATATTGGTTGCACAGATCTTCGCACGACGGATCCCCA